CTGGGGACACGTACTTGGCCCAAAGAGCACGACTGTTTGGTGTGCATGAAAGTCGTATTTTTAGACTGTCGTGAAAAATGGAGACATCTGTGAAAGGCATCTAGCCTTAGGAAATCATGCTCGTCGGGATTTTAGATTAAAGAGGTAATAAGATCTGCCTAGGCAGAGTGAAGAGAGATGGTTTCATCGTGAAAAATAAGGTGATCAGACAAGTAAATGGCAGGCTGGAAAATAAAAATGTATCACTGGATGGCAGGAAGCCATTGCCTGATTGTCAACAAGCAAGATTCTGAAGTTAGCAGACCCTCATTAAGGAGTGAACCTAAAGTTCGAGTGACAACAGAAGGGAAAAATTGTAGTAGTCCTACTCGAAGATTAGGGTCCAATTTATGGACTTATTTCAGGGGTTGGGGTTCAAGTATAGATTAAATATCAAAGGAAGATCCAGACGGCTCTACTGCAAAATTGCATGTGAGCAACAAAGGACAAAGAACGTCTGTGGATCCGTGTCTGCTGTGTGGACGGCAGGCACGGTTTACTTGGATTGAAAACTTGGGCAGAGCAACAGTGGAGAGAGTGAGGAACTTGAGCCCTGTGTCCATCAAGTTAGGTTTGAGATGGTGAGATCTACCTTATGTAGTGCACCTGAAGTCAGGTGTAGAAATGTGTCGTCCTCAAGTGGATACGACCTGAAACTGTGGGAAGGGCTCACTTGGCCTTGGGTCTGGAAGGAGACCTTCCGCAGCAGGACGAAGCCTGAGCCCAATAGCGGCCACACCCCTGCCCAGCCCAGCCCCCGAGTCCTGCTGTTGTCTGCGCAGAAGAACCGGAACCCAAATGTCAAGGAGGAGGACGTGGTTCTAACAGGTGTGATAGGCCAAGATTTCAGAGTCACTCAAAAATCCCCAGAAATGTCTGTTACTATTAAGAGACATTATGAGGCCCACCTGAGAAGAGGGGGCAGCAAGAACTAGGCAGCAAAGATGGGAGCAGATTCAACATGTAAGTGGGAAGCCAAAAGAGCCCCACTCCCTTCCATCTTAGCCAAATTCTCAGTGATAGATGGACACCTTGAGTCTTCGCTGTAACTTCTGGAATGTTCCTGTTGCTTGTTGCCTGGGATGGGGATTAGAGCTGATAGCTGAACTGGAGAGAGCAAGGACAGCCCCTGGGCATAGTCAGCCCGGGTCTAGATGGAGTCCGTGGTTCACACCCTTGAGGTCACACACCTGGCTGCAGTTAAAGAGCTGTGGTCTCCTGGAACCTAAAGTCTGGACCTGCACTACCACAGCTAGTCCACTTCATGTTTCTAGACATGCTTGTCCAAGACTCCCTGGAACTGTTGGAGTAATAGGAAGTGAAGTAGCTTAGGGTCAACATGGTGGATGTTTTGTAAGAGTTCTAGGATAGCTTGGAAGTGGGAGATGAGGAAGCCGTTCTAATACAGAGAGGCACCCACCCACATTTCTCATAGTTGAATTAGACACTGACCCTGTAGAGCCATAAATAAGCTAGTCAGGAATTGTGGGGAGGACTCGGAAGACAGTGTGTTGGAGTGCAGTTGGGCTGCTTGACTTGGGTGATAGCAGAGGCTTCTGTGGCCGTTGACATTTGAGCTGAGACCTGAAGAATGAAGAGCATTGACCATGGGGGAGTCTGTGTAAAAGTGCCCAAGAAAAAGAAAAACCAGCACAACTGGAAGGATCGGAGACCTGAAGAGATGGGTTTGCCCACTGCCATAGCCCAGGCAGTCTGTGCTGGGTCATCATCCAGAGCCCCAGTTATGGCGGCGCCAAAGAAAAGACATGTCTGGCTCAGCTAAAGTCAGAGAAGTGGCTTTCGGCCAGTGTGACTGGAAAGCTGTTGATTCTCCAGTTGGGAACGCTGGCGTGGGGAACATGTTGAAGGACCTAGGGCTTGTATCGTCTGTTTTCTCTGAGAAGACTGAAACCAGCTGACAACAAAGACAGCAGGAAGTGGTAGGGAACGAGAAAGGAGTGGCCCCAGTGTGGAGGCATTGCTGTGCACAGCCGAGAAAGCCTAAGAGCCTGTCCCAACCAAAGACAGTGGCGTCACACCACACAGCTTGCTGAATTCCCTCCAGTAAGGCGGCAGCCACACCATTGGGCCGGGGAAGCGGGTCTTTTCTGAGCCTTTGAGACAGACAAACAGATGAGATTCCTAATGAGCTGTTAGGGAGACAGTGATGCTGGTGATGAAAGGATAAGAAACCAGCAGGTGCAGGCCCCGAAAGTGAGCTGAGGGCACAAGAAGGAACCTCATTGTCTGAGGGGGTGTGAGACTAGGAAGTGGAAGAGTGGATGCAGTGTCAGACAGGAAACTGCCTTGGACCTTGAAGAGATGCCCCTTACATTGCAGCTGCCGCCATTTGGGTTTTGGTTCTCCTGTCAGAGCAACGACTCTCTGCTTTCATTAGAGGGGAAACAGTTGGCAGGTAGGTTTAACTTGAGTGAAAACATTTTCCTTTAATTGTTACATATACCTTCCTCCATTTTTTGTCTGCTTGAAACAGGCTTCTTCTCTTGTCCTATGAGCAGCCGAAATGCGTACGTTGGAGGCACTGGCCAGTTTAATAGGCCCTGCTGAATGCGTGTTGTCAGTCCTAAATGTACCACCACCCCGTAATTGATGGAGAGTTGAGTCACAAGCTTTTAGGACTAATTGCAATGTGTAAGCTAAAAACATTTCCTGGAGGAGCTGCCTTTAAATAACAATACCGCTCTTGTGAGTAGGTTAGTGCTTACCATTTACAAATCTCTGTCTCATGCATCTTCCCTCTCATCCAAACAATAAACAATGCTGTTGGAAAGCAAGTGTTTCCTGAATGAGAAGCATGCTGATTTGATCACAGTGGTGAGTTGCCCTAAAGTTCTTGATATAATAACCGTATACTGAGCACCTTTGGTGTACCTTCTGTGTTCTGGTAGCAAAATGGATTATGAGCTGGACTGCTAAGTGCAACGCAAATCTTACCATCCCTCCGCAGGAGAAAGATGAGGCCTCAGCGCCTGTTAAGATCTACAGCCTCAGAAATCCTGTACAGGGTTACTATGAGTCAGAACCAACTTGGTGGCACACAGCCGCCACCACCACCACCAGGCGGCCTGGTGAGGCAGTGGTTAAGCACTGAGCTGCTCAACCAAAGATCGGTGGTTCAACTCCACCTGCCACGCCAAAGGAGAGCAATGAAGCAGTCTGCTTCTGTAAAGATTTACAACCTTGGAAACCCTGGGGAAGTTCTTCGCTGTCCTTGAGGATCACTAAGAGTGGGAAGGCACTGGACCACAGTGGGGATCAGTCATTGTGGCCATGTCTCCTCACTCGCCTGCCCTTCCTTGTCACAGTCACCATGGCTACGTGCTGAACCATAAATTGATACCAGCACTGCCAGGAATTCATTGTCTCAGAGTTGATGCTTTCAAAATTTAGGATTCATGGACTTACCTAAGTTCAATGATTTTTCCAGAAATCATTCTGTGTATTTTAACTTGCACCTTCTTGAAGACTGTATATCGATTACTGGAGCTTCAACTAAAAAAGAAACTACTTAAAGCATTCAGAACATCTGAAAATGCCTAGCCCTTCGATTCCATGTCCTGAGTCCTGGTTGGGGCATGATTTCCGGAAGACTTGCTCTCCAGAGGAGTTGACGTGGTAACCCGGGAGGCAGAGGGCTCTCCAGGCAACATGGGGAGTAGGAGGTCTTGCTGTGACCAGGGCAGCCTCAAAGCAGGACATCTGAAGTACCCAGGTATCCCCTCCAGGCCACCAGGGCACCTCAGCATATTCAAGATTAGGGGTCTCGCTGGAGCGTCACCAAAAAGTATGTTGTTGTTAAGTGTCGTCTATTTGGCTCTGACTCAGAGGGTTTCCGAGGAGCAGCTGGTGGATTTGAACTGCAACCTTGTGGTTAGCAGTCCAGTGCGTATCTTACAGCACCCCACTCCAAAAGTCATAGGGACCCTGCCTTCCAAGCACCGTGGTCAAACAGTTTTGTCTGAGTGCGCACTGTGACCTGGGGCTTCCTGAGGTCCTGGGTCTGCAGGGCCGTTTCAGTCCATGACCGAGTACATATCAACAGTGGGTTCAGCTGCTCACCACCATCTATCTCCCTCTCTCCTTCTAGTCTTCTGCCCTTAGCACCCACACCCACCCCCCAGCACCTTCTCAGCTGTTTGTGTAGACTTGTGACTGAGGCCTAATCGTTCCAAGCAGCCCAGTCCATTCCTGGACACACAACTTGTTTGGAAATGTTTTCCATGAGAACATCTCTTTACAGGACACGGTCTGTATTTTCCAAATAGGAGGTCTGTGGACACAGTGATTAAGCTTGGGCTGCCCATCGAAAGGTTGGTGGTTCAAACCTACCTACTTCTCAGGAGAAAGATGTGGCAGTGGCATCTGTAAACATAGTGATGTTGTGCCATGGAGTCTCGGTTCCACCTCATAGCCACCCTGTACAGGGTTTCCGAGGCTGTAAATCTTTACGGGAGCAGAAAGCCTCATCTTTCTCCCGCAGAACAGCTGGTAATTTCGAACTGCTGACCTTGAGGTAAGCAGCCTGACTCATAACCACTACCCTACCAGAGTCTTGGAAACACTCTGGGTACATCTACTCTGTCCTATAGAATTGCTTGAAGTTGGAATCAACCCAACAGCAACAAAGTTTTACTTGCTCTGGTGGTGTTTGTGTTTCTTTTGCAGAGCAAATGTCTGGATTGTCAAAATAAGTCTGGATTCTTTTGGTATGGACCTTAGGTGATCAAAAGCTAAAGCCTTCTCTCCCTTGCCTGTGTTGTGCTGGTGAGCCTGGTGCTTGGTTGGCTTGGCTGTGCCGTCAGCATCTGAGCAGCCCTTCGGTACTCTAGAGAGCCCAGGGAGGCCGTCTGTAGTTTGAGCGTTACCTCTAGGGGACATTTCCCACAGCGACGGGACAATGCTTGAAATGCTGTCCTGATGGTTCCGGTCTCTCTTTACAGGGCATCTTTTATGACCAAGACTGTCCAGTACCAAACTGAGCTGCATAAGTTCCTGATCTGGGATACAGCTGGACAAGAACGAGTGAGTCACTCTTGGATTTACTCTGTGTTTTCTCTGAGGCCCACGCAGAAGTCCCCACGGACCCACCAGCATCCCCAGCAGCTTCCCGTTAGTCACTTCTTGTTGGGCGCACCGGAGACACATTAATCTCCATTTGCGTAGACCAGCCTTTTTCTTTCCAATTAGAGCTACAAAGTCCAGTGATGGAGAAAGTGATCATGGGCACCGGGGGCATTTTTATCTGCTTTAGTGTCTTCAGCTGAGTGATCCAGCCCTGCTCCGAGCACGTGGTGTAATGTGGGCACCATTCCCCCAAGACAGCCACGAAGTAGTGGTAGAGAGGAAGAGTTTACACACGCCTCATTTATAGCCACCTTTTAACAGCTACAGAGGGAACTTTACAGCATATAAAGTTTGAGATTTAAGTGGAATGGATGAGCTAACGCGGGAGTCGTGCAGTCGGTACTTAATAAATGCCTGCTGATCAAATGGTCCATATGGTTATCGGCTTGAGGAGCAGCACCATGCAAAATGGAACTCAATGACACCCCCAGCTAGGAAAGGGGACAGGTCTGTGCCTGCCACCTGCCTTCCCTTTGGTCAGGATACTGAGTCCCTGCCCCTGCCCGAAGGCGCTTGACAGCCATCCATTAGTCAGCTGCTGTTTAATGTTGTTCTCAGGCAGTACTATGGAAACGGAACGTCTTCTGGATGTACAAGACTTTCTTCAGCTGTTCAAAGTAGACCCAAAATAATCAGGACAGTTGTCATCTCGGTCTTATCTAAGACAACCTAGATGCTGTGTGTGGTGTAAACCACAACAGTCAAACAGGGGGACCAGAGCATCGTCCTCGGCGGACACTCTGCATCTGCGCAGACTTCCTGCCTCCAGGCTGTTGGCCCCCACTGCCTGCCCTGGGCTGGGGCTGTACATCTGGAATGCAGCCTTGAGCTGGCTGGACCCTGGTAGCCATCGCTCCATGCCCATCTAAGGGGTGACTGACTCCCCGCCGGGTGGTCCCAAATGTCTGTCAGCGTAGCCCTAGACTCTGCTGTGAGAGGGGCTCCCACCATCCCCCAGGTCCCCTGTTCCCGTCGCCCCTCACACATAGTGGATGATCTGGCAGCACTCACACCATAAAGAACCTGCTACAAGAGAGAGTCCATTACACGGGGCAGCAGAGCTGCTCGCCGGGCTCCTGGAGCATGGAAAAGGACTAAGAACAGCTGGCACTGTGCCTCTGCCTTACTGTGAGCTGCTGAAGTCTTATGATTAACTGCTTGGCCGGCCTCTTGTTTGCCCACCTCTGATCAAAGCTGCTACCAGACTCAGATGCAGATCTGCCGGTGGGGAGGTGACTAGGACAGGCGCAGCAGCTGGGGCGAGCATGCTCTCAGGGCTGCCAAACCAGTGTTCACCAAGTTCTGTCCCCCCCGCCACACACGTACACACACACACTCATCCTCCTCTCAGTGTCCTCATGTGCAGCCCACCCTCTGACCCACAGACTCCAGCTCCTCAGCCCCTTCAGCCACTCCTGTGCTGCTTGCTCTGGCCCCCTGACAGTTTCGAGGCCTCAGGGTTAGCCCTACCCTACTGTCTCCAAGCAGGCCTCTCGCTGGCTGCCAGGTACATTCGGGACTTGCAGCCCCCCTGGGTGTCAGTAGCCCTGCCCCTTGAACCCACATCTGTTCCCAGCTGTGTTAGCAGAGCCTGACACAGAGCTGACATAGTGCATGTAGTGCATGCTCAGATAGTGAGTGACTGGACGCATCAACTAATAAGGAATTCCTTTGGGTCCTCCTGAACAGACTTTGATTATTGTCATCCAATGGATGGTCACCTAGTTCCTCCTGTGTCTTGTCTTCTGTGAGCCAGTGAGCTCCTTGGGGCAGAGGCTCCTGCGTAGCTGTGCTCTGAGCCACTGGCACAGTCTCGAGAGCCTCCACCTACTCCACCTATGCCATGTGAGTCTTCATGCTTCAAATGATGAATTTCTGGTATTTACATATTTCTTATTCGGTTCTCGTAGACAAGAGATTTATTATGCACCCCAAAGTCATCATAAAATGAGAACCCTTTCTGGTGAACTGACCAGTCAGCATCTTCCCTGGGTGACCCTAGCATCTGGTGTTGCATGTAGTTTCAACAGGTGGCCATGTGCCGCCTGGTCTCCTTACTGTTGATTGAAAAGCTAAGTCGATGAAAGTGATTTTGGAAAACTTCTCTGATGTCCTGCAAAGCCATTGAAGATAGGGATCTTTTCAGTAGAATAGTTGCTTAAATGCCACAGAAGAGGATGATTATTTACGGATCAAAGAGTAAAGAGAGATCTAAGGACAATTGATGGAGTCCTCAAATATTTTTGTGAAAGTGACCCTTTTTGTGATTGGATTGTGTAGGTCCAACAGGAAATGGAGGCTGTTGCCCTGTGCTGGCATGCATCTCCATCAGAAGGTCACAGCCAAAGTGTCCACCAACTGTGACTGCTCTTCATTTCGAGAATTCGCTCCTGGTGACAGTTAGAAACAAAAAATGCCACCGGATAAAATGAAACTTGTTTTCATAATTTTATATTTATTTGTCAAGACAGAGCCTTTGTCAATTCCCAAAATCAAATAGAACACATAAATATTGATAACCCATCCAACTCAAAATTGGTCATTTTGAATCAGACAGCCCCTGGTTTACTATGCTGGGAATGACGAATTGAAGAGGAATGGTGTTGCATTCATCATAAAAAAAGAACATTTCAAGATCTGTCTTAAAAGTGTAATGCTGTCTGTGATAGGATAATATCCATATGCCTACAATGAAGACCAGTTAATAGCACTATTATTCAAATTTACCCTCCTACCACTGATGCCAGTGATGATGAAATTGAAGACTTCTGCCAACTTCTTCAGTCTGAAACTGACCAAACAAGCCATCAAGGTGTACTGATAATTACTGGTGATTGAAATGCAAAGATTGGAAACAAAGAGGAAGGATCAGTCATTGGAAAATAAGGCCTTGATGATAGAAACAATGCTGGAGATTGCATGATAGAATTTTGCAAAGACCAATGACTTCTTCATTTCAAATACCATTTATAAACAACATAAAAGAAGACTGTACACATAGACCTCACCAGATGGAATACACAGAAATCAAATTGATTACATCTATGAAAAGAGAATGTGGAAAATCTCCATATCGTCATCCAAAACAAGGCCAGGGGCAGACTGTGGAACACACCATCAATTGCTCATGTGCAAGTTCAAGCTGAAATTGAGGAAAATTAAAACAAGTCCAAAAGAGCCAAAATATAACCTGGAACATATCCCACCTGAATTTAGAGATCATCTCAAGAACAACTTTGATGCATTAGACACTAGTGAGAGAAGACCGGAAGAGTTACGGAATGGCATCAAGAATATCATACAGGAAAAAAGTAAAAGGTCATTAAGAAGACAAGGAAGAAGGAAAACACCAAAATGATGTCAGAAGAGACTCTGAAACCTGCTCTCTAGCATAGAGATGCTAAAGCAAATGGAGAAATGAGGAGGGAAAAGAGCTGAACAGAAAATTTCAAAGGGCAGCTCAAGAAGACAAAGTCAAATATTATAATGAAATGTGCAAATATGTGGCGTTAGAAAACCAAAAGGGAAGTAAGTACACTGTCGGCATTTCTCAAGCTGAAAGAACTGAAGAAAAAATTTAAACCTGAACTTGTGATATTGAAGGACTGTATGGGCAAACTATTGACCACTGCAGAAAACATCAACAAAAGATGGATGGAATACACAGAGTCACTTTACAAAAAAGAAATGGTCAATGTTCAGCCATTTCAAGACGTAGCATATGATCAAGAGCCAATGATCCTGGTGGAAGAAGGATCCTTGAAGGCATTGGCAGAGAAGTCTCCGGGAATTATTGGAATACAAATTGAAATCTTTCAACAAACTCATGCAGCATTGAAGGCACTCACTCATCTATTCTATGAAATTTGGAAGGCAGCTGCCTGGCCAACCGATTGAAAAAAATCTGTATTTGTGCCCATTCCAAAGAGAGATGACTGAACGGAATGCAGAGAAAAAATCAGACAATATCATTAATAGCACATGCAAGTTAAATTTTGCTGGAGATAGTTCAAAACCAGCTGCAGTCGGTTCAAGCTGGATTCAGATGAAGGCATGAAATGAGGGATATTGTTGCTGATGTCAGATGGATTTGGGCTGAAAACAGAACATCAGAAAGATGTTTACCTGTGCTTTATTGACTACACAGATGCTTTTGGTTTTATGGATCGTATCAAGCTATGGACAACATTTCGGAAAAATGAGTATTCCAGAACATTTATTTAATTGTGCTCATGAGGAATCTGTCCATAGACCAAAAGGCAGTTGTTTGAACATGAAAAGGGAACACTGAATGATTTAAAATTAGGAAAAGTGTACTCCAGGATTGTGTTCTTTCACCACACCTATTTAGTCTGCATGCTGAGCAAATAATTTGAAAAGCTGGATTATATGAAGAAAAACATTGCATCCAGATTAGAGAAACTCATTAACAACCTGTGATATGCAAATGGCACAATCTTGCTTCCTGAAAGCAAAGAGGACTTAAAAAACTTACTGATGAAGATCAAAGACCACAACCTTCCATATGGGGGGGTGCATCTCAATTTAAAACAAAAATCCTAACCACTGGACCAATAAACAACATTGTTATAAATGGAGAAAAGATTGAAGTTGCCAAAGACTTCATTTTGCTGGGATCAACCATCAACCTTCATTGCATTAGGTAAATCTCCTGCTTTTCTGTGGTACTCTGCCCTCCTGCGTTACAGTCCTGACTTCTGTTTCCTTCTGTCTAAAACCTCACGTGCCATGTTACTGGAGATGGGTAGGCATTCCCCTCAAAAGTTAGGGTTTTCCTCACAAATCATAATGGGGTGTCTGACTCTGGCGCTTGGTGTGACAGTACCCCATGCTTACATAGTTCTCCTCCAAATATTGGTTGAGTGCCCCAGGTAGAGAGCCAGGCCCTGGAATAAAGGGGGCTAGGCCTGCACGCTGTGTTCCCTCGTGGTACTTACACTCAATTTACTGTTGGAAAGCTCAGACGAGCATGGCGGTCAAAAAACGCAGAGGTCGTGTCGTGTCCCCAGAGCAGAAATAACACTGGTAAGCCATGGGAGCCCAGATCAGGATGGGAGAGGAGGGAAGTGTAAGACGAAGATGGAGTGCAGCTAGAATGCGTGCTGTCAAGTGTTGGCTTCACGTTAGGTGGGTGAGCAGCTCCCACTGTGACAGGTGCCCAGGAGCTGAGGCTGGTGTACCTCATAGCCTCAGCCAGAGCGGTGGCTAAATCACCCTGCCTGATGGCCTCCTTCTGGCTGTCCGTTTCCTTCTCTTCCGTCCCTGTTACAAATGATGGGGTGGGGGTGACTGGGAAGGAGCAGCACCATGTAGAGGCTCATATAAACCCAACCAGCTGTGTACCAGCATTGGGCCGTTGCTGTGCTCAAAGAGACATCAGACAGCAAGTTGCCGACTCATCTGAAGTTGTGGGTAAGTGTGTGTTCATTTCTGTAGTGCGATCAGCATTTAGATTACAAGGTTATGTTCACAACACCCCAACACAGCCACTTCTCTGGAAAACCATTTGCAGCATTCTTTTTATCTCAGCCGTGGTTTGGGGAGCCAAAGTTTAAAGGACTGTTGAACAAATGAATTTGGGAATTATAACTTGGAGTTCAATTAAAAAGCCTTTTCACTAAAACAATTGTTGATAACACGGTATTTACTTCCTAATAAACTGTATTCTAAACTACCTTCTGAGGAACGTCTTAGTAGTACATGAAAAGGTTTTGCCTTTGCTGATCACTGGTTCATTTGCTGTGAAGTAGTGTGTCATCGTTTTTGGATGAAGACAAAGATGATCTTTTTGTTCAGGGATACTGAGCTTCAGAATCCAGTGAGCAGCGTGTTTCCCCAGTCCCCCTCACTTTGTTGTCTCTCTCTTCCCTGCTCTGCAGTTCCGTGCCTTAGCACCCATGTATTACCGAGGCTCCGCAGCTGCTATCATTGTCTACGACATCACCAAGGAAGTAAGACCCTGTTTTCTCTCACATTCTCTTTAGAGAGTTTTGAAATTTGCCTCTGGTTGCTTTTCTATGCGGTTGCTTTCCTCTTCTGTGTCACAGGAGACATTTTCAACATTAAAGAACTGGGTGAAAGAACTCCGGCAGCACGGCCCACCTAATATCGTTGTTGCCATCGCAGGAAATAAGTGTGACCTTACCGACGTCAGGTGAGTTCTTAGAGCTGGCATAGTGCCCCGTTTCGCCCAGGGAAATAGCCAACACAAGCAAGCCCCTCTCATTGCCTGACCCTGGCTGATCAGATCCAGTTTGGTTTGGTTCCCTGTGGAAGTGACTGGAAGGCCCCTCTCTGCCGCCCACTGTAAATCTGGGTCATCCGCAGCAGGTGCACTTTCTAATTTGCCGTTTCTGCCTTGCAGAGAAGTCATGGAGAGGGACGCGAAAGACTACGCTGACTCCATCCATGCCGTCTTCGTAGAGACCAGCGCCAAAAACGCCATAAACATAAATGAACTCTTTATAGAAATCAGTGAGTATCTGGGTCTCACTTTCTCAAGGAACCTCTCTAGCCCCAGTGGAAGGAGACAGATGGGGCCCGGTCGGGGCCCTAAGTGATTGTGCACGCCTAGTGGTGTCATTGCTGGGGCATGGGGGTGTTTAGTTCTTGTTTTACTTTCATCGTTTCATTTGTTCAGAGAAACCAGAAGTCTGGATGTGTATGTGGTGTACCCCATTGTTTAGATGTGTTCACTAATTCAAACATCCTGAGACTTGTGGAGACATAGGGAATCCATCTGCTGGCCATATAGTGCCAGTGGACTGTGGGTTGGTGACCTCTATTTCAACCCCTTCATTTCAGCATTAACAAATCATGATATTTACTGTTTCAATATTAAAAAGTTTTTGCCATCTTGCGAGATGGTAAAGTAAGAGTTGCCCGGAGGAGTTCTTGAAAGGCCGCCTATGAAGGCCGACTGGGAACTGATTGTAGTTCAAGTTCCTCAGTGTGTGGTGTCATGAGTGTGTGGAAGTTTTCAACAGGCAGGTGTGTTAAAGGCTGGAAGGGAGTGCACTGTCCCCACCGTGGAGCTCTGCGTGTGAGAACTTTTTACCTGTGAACAATGGAAACGTATATTCCCTCAGAATAGGACAGTTTAGGGACGTGTGCACAGTGTCTGGTTCCCCAGGTGTTGTAAAGGTGCCTGAGCTCTGTATTTTACTTGGCTGCACAGATCCCAAGTACAAAGCTCAGTGGATTCTCACAAACTGGGTCCATGCCTGTAACTGGGCCCTCAGACCTTACCCCAGAAGCCTCCCTTGTGCCTCATTCCAGTTACCCCCAACTCGGCCCCTGTCCCCCTGCCCCAAGGGTCACCCTCGTCCCAGAAGCTCATTCTGTAGACTGGGTTTACCTGGTTTTGTTCTTTATATTTTTTAAAAAAACAGACTCTGTTTACCCTTTCTGCTTTTGTACTTACGACCGTGTTTTTGTATCGTTGCGGATAGCTGTCGCTGATTCTCCCTTACTGGTGAAGTGTGTGCGTGTGCATGAGAGAGATGGGGACCCGTACCCACAGCGCGGCCAACCACTCTGCTGTGTCACCAGTGGGGAGCTACTAGCAGCACTTCAGTCCTGCACATTCGGTGACGCTGTGGGTACACTTAAGTCACCTTGTGTATAGCAAGGAATGTTACCCGAGACTTTTCAAAGTGTTTGCCCTCATTTCTGCTTAACCTTGGGAATGTGAACATGCCAGGCACGCCCCCGTCTCTGCTGGGGGGCTCGACTAGATCTGCATTCCAGGGCAGGGTCGGCGGGGTGAGGCTGAGTGCCTTTCTGAAGGTTTGGACATTGACAGTATCCAGATGCCCTCTTCTTTGAAATGTCTGTTGGCCTGTTATGTTCTGGACTGTTTTCTTCTTGTTCTCTGGTTCTTCGTACGTTTTAAACGTGAGTCCCTTGTGGATTCTGTGGGATAGAAGAGCCTTCTGATTTGACTTTGGTTTCTTAGTCAATAAGAACTGAAGTTTTTCATCCTAATATCGTCCCATTTATCCCCGTTTCCCTTTATGATGAGCACTTTTTGTTCCGGTTTCAAGAAATCAGGGCCTCCTCCCAAGTCAGGAAGATGTCCTCCTCATCTGTCTTGTAAAAATTGTGTTAGTTCCTGGCCTCCAGCAGTTCCATTTCAGCGATGCTTCTGTGTCCACGGCTGTGTCTGCTCTCCAGGTGTCGAGAGGTTGGTACTGAGGAGAAGCTTCGGTAAAACTGCGCTTCACATGCACACCTGCAAATTCTTCCCCCTGGTATCGCAGCGTTGGGGAAGAGCATGGGCCCCACTAAAGAGCCTGTCTCTAGTCTGTGAAGAAGCCAGCCTTTGACACGACCCCACAAGGACTTGCAGACTGCTCAAAGGGTGGGGGCAAAGGTCAGAAGCCAAGGGCCTGAGAGTCCACAAAGATGTCATTGTAGCCTTCATCCTTTCAGAGATGGGTGTGTCCTGTCAGTTAATGTCCAGGCAACACCTGGTACTGCACTGGCCAGAACCAGAACCTGAGGTGGAGAGGCAGGGTCTTAGTGCACAGGAGCTGGTCTTGCTGACAAGCCTGTAGTGACAGGTTCCGGGGCCTAGGCTGACATCAGCATCAGAGATGCCTAGACAGCCTAACCTTTGAGGAGATACCTGTTTGAGTCCTCGGCCAGGTAGGTGGTGGTGGTTGTTAAGTGCTGTCGAGTCAGTTCCAACTCATAGCCATCCTGTGTAGGGTTTGTGAGGAGCAGCTGGGGATTTGAACCACCACCTTGCATTTCAAAGTAACCTTGCAGTCCAGTGATTATCCTACAGCACCACACCAGGACTCCAGAGACAGGTAGGTAGGTGGAGGATTTACGGTTCCTCTCAAAATTGACATCCGCTTCACAGAGCAGTAAAGTAAAACCTGTTCTTTTTCGTACATTGTTGGTTGGAGAATAAAGTGGCACGACCTCTTCAGAGAGCCGTTTGCAGCATCTGTCAAAATGTAACTAACCCGTCCATCTTGCATTTGTGCTGGACAGAGCCTGGGAGTACAGTCTCTGTGTCCGCTAAACGCCCAGGAGTGGAATTGCACACCCAGCGTCCCCAGTGCAGCTCATGTACCCTGCACGTACTCTCCCATAGCTTCCGAGAGAGATGGCCAAGCCACTCTTGGCTTCATTGCTGGTGCTCTTATTAGATGCCATCGGGTCGGTACCAACTCAGAGCGACCCGATGCACAACAGAACAAAACACTGCCCAGTTCTGCGCCAACCTCACAATTGTTGCTGCATTAGAGTCATTGCTGCTGCCACTAGCCAATTCATGTCATTGAGGGTCTTCCTTTTCTTCTCCCACCCTCCGCTTTACCAGACTTGATCATCCTTCTCCAGGGACTGGTCCCTCCTGACAATATGTCCAAAGCATGAAAGAGAAAGTGTGGCCCTCCTGGCTTCCGGGGAGCATTGTGGGTGTACTTCTTCCCACACAGATTAGTTTGTTCTTTTGGCGGTCCATTGTTCATTGTTAATAACATCCAAGTACTGGAGACAAACAAAGCACCCATCAGATAAAGGAGGCGTTGAAGGGACTGTAACAAAGGCAACCGGAAGGTTCAAATACGGCAGTTGTGAGGATGGTGCTGGACCTAGCAGGGTTGGTTCTGTGCGCCAGAACCAGCTCTGCGGCACCTGAAAACAATCATATAGCATCGAACGTCAAAACTAAAGCTGTTGTTAAACATGAGGTGGCTTTCATTGTACGCACAGGAACCCAATTCCAAGATCTGTTATGTGCAAACAGCAAGGCAGAGAGTTTGTTTCCACTGGGGTTTTTAAAGGGGTGTGGGGGTACGAGTGTACATACTTGTGTGTGTGTGTGTGTCTGTCTGTCTGTGCCCCTCCCTCTAGAATGCTGCATAAGTGGTTGCCTGTGACAGAGACAGGTGTGTGCTGTTTGAAGTTGTTATGGTTGAGAACACACAGGAAAACATACAGCATCTCCACAGTTGCTACATGTAAAATGCAGCAGCATCGATGATGGAACCATCCTCAGCCTCCTTCTGAGTCATCCTTCCCTCATTAACGTAAACTCACTGCCCCCTAAGCTTCCTAGCTAACCTTTCACTTTGCTGTTGTCAGTGATCCCATACCGTTGTTTGTTGTTTATATCGTGCCCTCGAGCCGGTTCTGACGAATGGAACCTGGTATAGTGTTTCCAAGGAACAGCTGGTGGGTTTGAACCACTGACCTTGTGATTCGTAGTCCAGTTCTGATCCTACAGCACCACCCCAAAAGCACAAGGCTCAAGGCAGATAATTCTTTACTCGTTAAGCTAAATAATTGTTTAGCTTACAGAAGACTTCAGGGAACATTTTTCATTGAAGGGTTAAAGTTTAAAGATGACTCAAGGCAATGATGTCAAGGGTTCATGTAGCCTTCTGGCTCCAGAAACTCTAGATTCTGTGAGAATTAGAAATTCTGCTCTACAGTTCCCTCCTTTTGATCAAAGAGTCAGGTATAGAATTTTATATTAATAAACTTTTGGGGAGAATAATTTTTAGATTTACAGAAAAGTTGCAAAGATAATCTAGACTTTTCTTGTACCCTTCACTTGTTAAGTGCTGTTGAGTCCGGTCCGACCCATAGCAACCCTGTATAGGGTTTCTGAGGAGCAGCTGGTAAGATTGAACCGCCAGCCTTGCAGTTCAAATGACTTTGCAGTCTGACACATTAGCCCACAGCGCCACACCTGGACTCACTCCCTTCACTTGTTTCCCTCTCATGTTAATATCTTAGAACATTAGCTGTAATGTTTCCAGTCATTGTCACTGGGCACCATCAAGTTCTCCTGGTCTGCCGAAGAAGCCAGTTGAATGTGTTACTTATTCAAAACACAGTATTTCCAACATGTAATTTCTTTAACTTTTGGGGTGTGTGTGTGTGTGTGTGTGTGTGTGTGTGTGTGTGTGTGTGTTTTTGCACAGGTAGTGAATCCTAGAACAGAAACATGACATTAATGAAAAAACTGGTAACATCAAATTAAGTCTGGAGCTTAGCTAATAGTATAATAGTAATGTGCCAACATTGAATTCATTTTGACAGATACCCTCTGGAAATATATTAACATTAGGGGGAGCTGAGATGGGGCACATGGGAACTCTCTGTGATCTTTGCAACTTTTCTGTAACCCTAAAAATTATTCCTCACTTAAAAAAAAAAGAACTTTGTTAATTTTAGGTATTTATTTTTAATAAAACTTGTCAAATCATATCTACCAAACTATCATGTCATGTCGGAGAATGAACAGGTTAGGAAAGCTAACACTTGCCCTCTTCTCTCTTCTCGCCTGGTTTAGGTCGAAGAATTCCATCCACAGATGCAACTCCACCCTCAGGGGGTAAGGGCTTCAAACTCCGCAGACAGCCTTCAGAGCCCAAACGCAGCTGCTGCTGACCCCGCCTCATCCACTCAGACTTGCTGATGAAGTAGGTGGTCCTCCGCAGGAGGGCTGGGGTCCCTGCTGCAGGGTTTTGCCTGGCCAGTCTTGGGTCTTCTTCATGCAAAAAAAAAAAAAAAGGATTCACAGAGATGGACCAGTTCTCTCTTGACAACAGGCTGCAGTAGTGCTAACTCAGCCTCCAGACTTCACTTGGTGAAGGACCTCTGGTGTGCTGGACGTAACGTGTCCTTGTGTGGATGATAGGCTTCAACTGTCACGTCATTTGGAATCAAGATTTGATGTACCGTTTGTAAAGGGCAAGTGAGCACTTTCATGATTCTTGAAGAGGGAAGTAAAGACTGAGGGGGAATGATCCTTCATCCCCATTTTCCCAGCACCAGGGTCATAAGGCGTCCTCTGTAAAACGTGGTGGGCTGTGGGAAGTGGAGGGATGGCAGCAACTCTTAGAAATGAGTTCTCTGTGGGACTGATGGGAGGGAAGGGTTGCAGCCCCATGCCATCGCTGAAGCACTTTTCATTGAAAAGATTCGCCAAGGGTGCAAATGGTAAATTCACAACCGCAGTAACTGGCATGTGGCTCACCCTAGGTTTACAGTCGGACCCTGTCACATATCTGACACCTACCTGATCCATGCGAATAGGCACTCGTGGTGGTAGAGAACTTGTCTGGAAATAAGTGGGTTTCCTCTGTTCTAAACTGACTGACCATGGGTTTTTAAAAAGTAGGGTGGGGTGGGGTGGGAGAAAGTGGTGTAAATGCCTGCCCGTTTCTTATTTAACCCAAATATTTTGTCGGGAAAAAGCAGTCAATGGTCTGTTGCTGAGCATATGTGAAGTTATAGTGGGTATTTATGAAGCCAGTGCTTAGAGTACTATAAAGTGTGTAAATAGGTTCATAAACCCTGAGCTCCCTGGGCGGTCTCATGCCCACAGACCCGCTCTGGGAGCACTTTCACGGGGAGCACAGGCCTCGAGCCCTCCTCGAGCGCTGAGCCGACACTCTTTGAAGAGTCCTCCACTTCCCTTCCACCCTTCCACCCAGGACCCCTGACCGGCCCGACCGGCCCGACTCAGTGCAGTCCAAGCCCTTCCAGCTGACAGTGACCCTAGAGGACAGAGGGCTTCCCAGGCTGTCATCTGGATGGGAACAGACAGCCTCATCTTTCTCCCTCAGAGCAGCTGGTGGGTTGGAACTGCCAGCTTCGCTGTTAGCAGCCTGATGCTTAATCCGCTGTGCCACCAGGCACCCTTGACCCCTGGGGTAATGATGGAGTTCCCAGTTCAAGTTGTCTGTGTCTTGCTTCTAAGTTCCTTTTTGTTCTCATAATGACCTCAGTCCAGTTGTTTTGAGGGTTCTTTTCTTGTTACCCATTTAGCGTATCTTTCCATTCAGTTGGTCCTGCCTGTTAGTGGTTAACATGCTCTTCCCTCGGGGAGCCTAAGGTTCCTAATATAATCTAAAAATAAAGAACTGAAGTCAAGTTGGTGAAAATTTGTTCCTGGTCTAATTTGGCACCCTTCCAACCTGAGTATTGTAAGGGAAGGAAATTTACAAGATTAAATAGGAAATGAAACAGCTTGAATTTCAAAGTAAATTGTATTTTCAGAGCTATCCTTAAACGGAACCAGTCAAAACTTTTGAAAAGAATTGTTATTTTTCTGTGCTCCCCCCTCTTGATAGGAATAGGTTCTAATGGGAAAATTTTACTTAAATTAAGTAAAATACATTCCCATTGCCCTGATGTATGTGTCAAGCATTTGAAACTATTTTGTTCTCATATTGAAATGATACAGAAAGATGCAGTTAGGTAGAATCCAACCCTAACATCATTGTCCCAAAGCTCCATATGGATTCTGTGTGGCAGCTTGCTTCTGTCCCATCATTAAATGAGCAAGCGAGGGGGGTGGGGAGGGCAGCACACAATCCCAAGGACTGGCCTCCTAGTTAGCACCCGAGGCTGTTTGCCTTCCTTCAGTGTCTCTGGAGAGGCAAGAGGGGAGAACACAACAGAACACTGCAGAAGAGATGCCCGTGTGGCCCTCTCTGCCTTATCTCACCAGGTGACACCGGCCCATGACTTGCCCATTTTTTCCACCACACATGGTAGAGCTGGCTTCACGGTGTCTTGGTGCACATCACAGAGCAGGGCAGCTTGGTGTAAGCGCTGCTGGGCCTCCTCCCTGAAGGAAGGTGTCTGGTGACTTTCTCTCAGGTAATGTGGGCAGATTACCTGAGCCAACTGCAGCTGTCCCTCTTCCCAACCCCCACACTCCCCCACAGGTAGACATTTTTGCTGTTTTGTTGGGGGTGCCCTGGAGGTCATGCCCCACCACCATTCCTCAGGCGTCCTGGGGCCTCTTTGGGCCCCTTGTAGCCATCATCCCGTTAAGTGGACACGGCCTGGCTTCTTGTGGATTCTCTCTTCAATGCTGAACGTAAACTACCATCACCTCTGCTCCCTAACCCCACACTCACTGGGAAAACAGGCAAGCGTGTTCCCATTTGTTTGTATGTCAAACCCAGAGATGAAGATGAACGTAGGAAGCAGTGCTGTGTGTTGACTTTGGGGTGATTAGCTTGACTCAGTCAGCCCTGGTCTAGGACCCTTTCCTGCTTCCCGTCCTGTCCTATGTTGTTATTATGAGAAAAAGCTAGAGCTCAAAGGAATCGATTTAACAAATCATCTTACGGTTCTCTCATGATGTAGGACCATTTTTATCAAACTTTGGGGACTGAAAAGAAGAGAAAAATCGTTAAATGGCCGCAAGTGTGTATCGATTTCTTTCAGAGAAATGGAAATAAGCTCTTTGTAGGTGTCTAATCCCAGGAAGCCTTGGTCTCCAGAACACTCCTTCCACCCAAGTGTTTTCTGATTATGGGTTAACTAATTAACTATGATTCGGTGATTTAAAGAACATAAAGTAAGAGTATGATTAAGTGCCCTTCATTTTAAACCTCTTGTCTGAGAAGTGATTGGGGAGCAGTCCCTACTGCCAGCTCATCCTGGCTCCAGTGGAGCTTCGTCACCTGCTTGTCTCCCACAGCAGGACACGGCCCACGCATGGTGGCTGGAAGATTTCGTTCTTTTTAAAATACTCTGCTTCCTTGTCACCTGTTGGTGCCTGTGTGAAGTGACACCCCACTGTGTGTACCCTCGTCTCGAAGCCGGCCACCTCCCATAGGGAGGAGGACCTCAGTCCAGTGCTGGAGGCGCCAGTGTCCTCAGATGGGCCCATGTCCTTCTGGGGTTGTCAATTCTCATTATTTTTAAACACAGAAAGGGAAAGAAAAGCACATTTCATTTCAGAGATCCTCTTAAATCTCTCTTTGTGGCTTCTCTGTTCTCAAGGAGGAAGCCAGGCCTGGGAGGTCTGTTGTTAACTCCAGCAGCAAGAGCATCCCGGGGCCAGGGTCCCTGAGGCCTGGCCACCTGACCCGTGCCTTGTGTCAGAACAGACTTTCCGTAGCATGCCGAGTTCGGGTCAGACTGGACAAACAGCATGAACGTCTGTCCGCCTCGGGCCCAGCAAAGGCATCTCTTCATGGTTCTTTTACAAAACTGAGTTGGTTGTCAAAGAAGTGGTATCGTTTTTTTCTTTTTTTTAGCCTTTTTCCCCTCACTTCTTCAGAACACACCAAGACCCTAACTGGAGGACTGTCCGCAGCAGGAGATGGAGGGACATGGTATGGCGTGTAGCACCAGGCGAGCCCTCATGCCATCTGAGTGTCCTGCAGGAGCCTGTGGGAGAGATCCACAACCTTTCCCCTGGGGGACAGTTTCCACACTCGGCCTTGCTGAGCAGCATCGCACCGGGCAGTGAATACTTAGCTCCATAAGCCAAGTGAAGGAGCCCTGGTGGGGCAGTGGTTAAGCACTCCACTGCTAGCTCTGAGAGGTTGGTGGTTCGAACCCACCAGTGACTCTGAGAAGGACCCCTGTCCATCTCTCCCTGAAGACCACAGCCTAGAAAACCCTATGGGCAGTTCTTGGCTTTCACACAGGGCCACCACAAGTGGGCTCTACCAGAGGGTACCCTGCAGCAACGTACAGGAAGTTACCGGACGGTGATGAGCCAGAGACTGAGGGTCTGCACGGTTTACATGTTCACTGTTTCTGGGTTTTCAAGGAAGAAGTGGAATTTTCCTTCAGGGGTCAAGTTGTCACCGCATTCAGTTAGCTCGACTCATCAAAAATCAGATTGATTCAAGGTCATGTTTGAGGGATTGTCTGAACCCCACAGGCTGGGTATTAGGATTTAATTTATTTTAAGAAATTCAAGCAGCACATTTGTCCAGGAGATAAACACAGTACTGTGTAGCTGAGAAAAGCGGGCTTGGGAAGTTAGCTGAGGACTGAAAGGAGACCCTGTCACTTCCCAGTAATAGAAATCCAGGCAGTTTGATGATCTGATTTACAACAAACATGAGTGGAATTCTGGGGCATCCGTCCTGATTTGTGTGTAAATGAAAGTCTTAAAAAAATATTAGAAGACTGTTAGATTTTTCAGAAGTCTCCCTTTTTTAACAAAATAAGGAAATGGTAAGAGGGGAACCTGTGGTGTTGATATTTCGTTAGAAGTAACGAGGAAAGTGAATCCATAGAACCAAGCCTCCGGCAGTTTCTCAGCTTGTTCTTGAGGGTGTCGCTCAGCTCATATGAAAATGATTTACTCACCAACTCCAGCAAGACTTCCAGCAGCATCGATCAAGTTTAATACGATGGTGGGTGATCAGGAATAACGGCCGTCGGTACGCTCTTCTTTTACAGTCTAATCCATTTTAGACATGCTAGAATATTTTTGGCTTCAAAACAAAAGGATGTGGAAATTTAATAAAATGAAAAACCTGAAGCTTTCCATCTATGCCTTTTTTGACGCTGAATGTTTTAGATAGCGGGAAGATGAGGCTGTGCCGTTGGCAGATGCTGAAATGAAAACTGTGGTGTCTGACAAATTTAACAAAAAACTTTTTTCAATTTGTCACCAGTTCATT